TCCTCAGCATTTTTCAAGATGAAGTACACAATTGGGATTTTTCAGGTTAATTTTTCAAATTGCATTCATTGTTCTAAAAGATGGGGCATCGCATTTTGTCCCGTGTTGTTTTTTTCTGCACTATGTATGGCTTATGCACCGTAGTCTGCTGCACATGTGATTAGCTTTTATTGCAGGTAACTGTTAGAATGAATAGCTTGTCTTTTGAAGAGTGCTGAGCACCTTTATAGTTCCTCAGCAGTTCTAAAACTGGCTTTAGTAATCCTAAAAGTTAGGTGTGCCTTTGCATCTCCGAGTTCTGTTTTTTTTTAAAGCAATCATGATAAGATCAGATTTCATAGCATGTTCAAATTCTGTTTTAGCCTGTATGTTGGCTATATTTCCAAATGTAAGAAACGGCATAGGAGAACTTGGAGTAAAACACGCTTTGTGTATATAGATGATTATATTTGTATGGGTAAAGTATCTTTTTAATTAGACTGTCTTGCTACTGAAGGAATAGCAAAAACAAAGTACTCGGATCAACTGATCTTATCAGGATTTGATTCCATCTTTATAGTTTGCATGTTGCTGCTTATTGCAGCACTTTGCTTCCTTAAAATCCAAAATATCCGTCCTGTAGCTTTTATGTTGAGTGCTTATACCTGTATATTTTCAAAATGCAAATTGTTTAGTTGGAAAAATGTTTTTCTTTGCTTTTAAGGTAGTTGTATGTATTAAAATTAAAATTTCCAGGTTTTTTCTCTCTCCAACAGAACTAGGTTTGCATAATTTTTCCTTTTTTTCCTAGTCATCTAAGTAATGCCATGGTTTCATGTTTAATGGAAAGTACTTAAGATGTGTAATTTGCTTAAAGTGCAGAGCTCCTGCTGCTCCCACTCAAGATCAGACACTCATTTTGCAAAGTCTAGTGTAGGTAATGAAGTGGTACTTGTCAGACCATGGTGTCCTAAACTAGCATTTAAAGTGGAAGTAACACATGGACAGACAACCAGTAACTTTCACTGCCCTTCCAAATGACAGATGGCAATATGATGTCTGTCATCAGGCAGTAATTCCAAATAGGCATTGCATGTTTAAACATTTGTGTAGGAATGCATTACAAGTAGGGTATATTCTTTTTTTAGGTCAGAAATAATATTTAGTCTGTGCACGTAATCTTACCCAGTCATTCAACACTGTTAATCATTGTATCATTTTAGTTACCTTTTTGAGTATGCTCCAAAATTAATATTAAAAAAATTGACAGGAAGTACAGGTGGCTGCAAATCTTAAAGAGTAGAAAATTGTAAATTTTCTTATGCAGAGAAAACTGTCCTCAGGTTGGGGTGAGACTAGGCTGTATTAGTTGGTTCCTACTTAAGAACCATCATTTTTCCTAGAATAGATTTGTGCTGCCTTAATCTCTAGAGATAATTCTGTTGGAGGTGTCACAGCCTACAGGGTGCATTTATCTGAACCGTATGAAGTCTGAATGTCACAGAATTCAAGCTTTAATTTGAGACAATGTATCATTTTTGTGATTGCCAAGATACACTTCTGAACACAGATTCATGTGATACTGTCTGCTGATCATAGTGGCACGTTGACCCTGAAGCTAGATGATAAGGCTTCAAGCATCAGAAAACTTTAAGGCAGTTGTTCATATGAAAAGTGCACAGGCTCACTTCTCCTATTTGTGTATACCAGGGGCGGGCAGTTATTTTGGGCAGAGGGCCGCTTACTGAGTTTTGACAAGCCATCGAGGGGTGCATGACAGGCAGACCAGGGCAGATAAATATTTATTTTCTAAATTTTTTAGGAGCCCCGCAGGCTGGATAGAATGGCCTGGCGGGCCACGTTTTGCCCACCCCGGTGTATACAGTTATGACAAACCTGTAATTGCCAATTAAATAAGGAGAAGAACTAGCAGTGGTGCAATTGACTTTTCTGTCATTGGGGATTCTTCATACACCAGACAGTAGATTAGTGGTTACCAACTGGTCGATCAGGGAGCCTAATGCAGTCAATCTGAGGTTGGGTGGGGTCCAGGAGCGTGGGGGGCTCCCGCTGCTGTGAGCATCCCAGCGGAGGCCCCAGGGGGCACATCCCCTGCCCCCCCAATCTGTGCGCAGCAGAGGTAGCTGCCATTGCAGGCTGGGTTTTGCACCCCAGGCCCCCTTGCAGCATGCCTGAGAGCACCTCAATGCTATGTACACCAGCTGCTGGGCGGGCAGGGGACAAGACTCAGCCCAGGACAGGATGCATGTGGTGTTGAGCTGCTTCTGGGCCAGCTGCAGCAGGGCTTGGGGTGCAAAGCCCAGCCTGCAATGGGAGCTGCCTCTGCTGTGCATAGATTGGGGGGCACGTCATCCCCCCTCAAATGCAGGGCAGTGCAGACAGCTACAGCAGTGGTGAGGGAGGGAGTGGGGCTGGGGCAGGACCTCCACAGCCAGGGTGGTGTGTAGGATGAAGCCTGTGAGCAGCTTGTCCTGGGGGTGCAGGGAGGGGGGGCACATAGCCCAGGATGGTGTGGGGGGTGTCTGCCCCTGGATCTGCACGCTGGCTGAGCTAACTGCTGCTGCAGACTGGGGCCAGGCTCTTCATGGCAGGGGTGTTGGGCCAGGCTGTGCTTTGTCTGGGCAGTGGCAATACTGGGAGTAGGGCTACAGGGGGGCTGAAGGCACCCGAAAATTTGCCAGCCCTCCCTCCCAGTGGAGCTGCCTCCCTCCCTGAGTGCAGTGTTTTCCAACACCCCCATGGCTGGGAGGCTGTGCTGGGCTCTTCCCAGTGAGGGGTGGGCTGCGCTGCACTCAAGGCAGGTGGTGGCAGCACTAGGAGGGGGGTTAGGGGGCTACAGTGAATATTTGGGTGCCTGCAGCCATGTGCCCTCACCTTCCCCCCCCCCCCCATCCCTGTTCCCAGCCCCACTGCCTGGCCCAACACCCACACTGGGAAGAGCTGCCCCAGTCCACAGTAGCAGCCAGCATGCAAATCCAGGGGCACATGCCCCCCATACCCTCCCAGGCTGTGTCACCCTGGCTCCTTGTGCCCCCTGGATGAGTCACTCATGGCTCTGTCCCATGCCCCACTCTGGCTGTGTTGGGCCTGCCCCTGCCCCAGCAGTGAGGGAGGGAGCAGGGCAGTAGCTGGAACTCCCCCCAGCCCCTGCTTCTGCCTGTGCCTTGCTCCCCCTCTTGCCCCTGGGGTCTTGATCTTCACTCCCACGGCCCTTTCCCCTCCCCCTGCCTCTTCCTTCACAGACTTACCTGATGGGGAGGTGCACCCCCAAATAGTTTTTTTTTCCCTCCATTGTGATCTGCTCCCTGCTTTCCTCCCCACAGACTGACCTGTTGGGGGGGGGGGCAGGGGTGACACATGGTAGATCTTGAGTTGCTTTTTAATTCAAAAAGTGATCTCCTACTTTAAAAAGTTGGAGACCACTGCACTAGATGCAACAGTAACTTTAGTAACTAGAGTAAAATTGTAGTTATTATGTCTGCTTGTTTTCTTTTCTTTCTGCTAGCTTTCTGTTATCACTAGTGGGAGAAATAAAGTGATTCTAGGATAGGATAAGATCATAGCTTGGTTTACAGCCCATAATTAAAGATGTAGCAGTCCTCTCTACAAAACAAGTTTGACATGAGTATGTATATTGAGTGTTTTCGACTATACTCGCTGGGCTTTTGAGGAAATAGGTGATTTTCGTTAAAGTTTTCTGTCTTTTACATGTTCTAACTCTTGTCTTCTCTTCTGTCATTGTTCCTTTTCTTCAAGTTCTGGCTTAGAGGGCTCCCCGAGATGTGAGAAGACCTAGTTGAGAACTTGCTAACGAGCTGAATGGAAGGCAAAATAGAACCGGCCTTAGTTAAATCCTCTGGCTTGACACAGCCTTCCAAAGTATCTCAGGTGTTTTGGAAATGCTTGCTTTTTTCTAGGGAGGCTGGATTACCTGTCTTCTCAACAATGTACTGTCACACACACTAATTATATTGTGATTTCAAGAGGGTTGGTATTGTGAGGGGTTTTGTCCTCTTTTGCTTAAATATGGTATATGTGTTTCAGTGGTTTGGGATAAGCAGTATTGCAATATACAGTTGGGAAGCAATAAACATTGCGTATTCAACTGCAGTGTATTTAGAGCACGTTGATGTTCCAGCATAGAGCTGTGCTTCCCTACATGATTCCTCAGTGAAAGAGCAGTGTTTTAATTTCATGATCAATTGAATTGATTTGGTTCGCCTAAAGGAAATACTACAGCTTTCTTGTTGATTTAAGGCTGCATCAAACTTCCTGTGCGAGACAATGGCTTCTTTCAGTTTGACAGCCTCTTGATAATTGGATCAGTTGACTTTAGGACTGACTTGTGGTTATTCTTGCAACAACATTGTCAATAGCATCCTGACCTTTTCAGCTGTGTCTGTTAGCCTGGAGGTTGCAACACCAAACAAGATTCCAACAGTTATGGCTTTAAAGGTCCTGGAAAAAGAAAGAGCTCTTGTCAGCTGAACATAGGCTCTTTGTGTTCCCAGTGACAATAATTTTCTTTCAGTTACTCAAAGTGGTTTTGTACTCATTACCCCATAACGTAAGGGAAATGTATAGTAAAATAGATTAGGGAAAAAAGCGAGCATTGGAGTATAGTTTTGATGTGGGTCATGGGTGTCTTTGTACATACAGCTTGCACAGAACTCTGCCTACGACACTGTTCCTTGGTTTTCTAATTAGGTGAAGGATATGTAGGTCGAACCAGACAGGTCAAATCGGAGCAGAGCGGTAACTGTTCAACGCTATTCTATAATAGATTGATCTGGAATGGTGTGTGGTGGGTTCCTTGGATGCAATGCATCTTGCACAGAGGTTTTCAGGCTCTTAAAAAAAATCCCAATCTAATTGTATTACATGGATTGCCATGGACCTGCTACCGTATTGGAGACCGGTGTTGTATTTCTGTATGCTCCATGATGTTCCACGCTTCTTAACGGTTCTCTGCCCTTTTTTGTGTATTCATTTCTTTTTAGAGTGTCAGTGACTTTCCTTCCCAAGAGGATGTGGATGAAATGACAGAGAGGAAAAGTACTAACCCTGACTTTGAATGGGAGGGCCCAGAGTGTTCAGTAGCCTTTAGTGAGAACCAAATACCAACTCCAGCAGAGACTTCACAAAGTCATGACTTTGGCACTTCCTCTGTAAGCAGCGAGGAGGAGGAGGAGGGAGCTCCTGGCCTCCTTGAGAGCAAGGAGGAGCTAAGATGTGAAAAGGGGGTGTATGCAGGTGCAGAAAAGCAGGCTGATGACTTAGAGCAATCTGAGGTGGAGACCCCTGTAATCCCTGCTTCGCCTCCGCTGCAGCCCTTTGAGAGAGAGGAGGTGGCAGAGGATGTTGAAGAAAATGTTACGAGAGAGCCACTTAGAAAGCTAAACGGAGAGTGTCAGCACTCGTGTGTTAATAATGAGTTTCCTGCAGTCATTCGCTGTTTTCAGGTAGTAAGCTCAGACCCTCCCTTTTAACAAATTTCCCTTGTCTTTTTGGAGTGAAACCCTAAACACTGCAGCAAGCACCTACCAAACCTCCAGGAAGAGGAATGGCTTCCTTGGTGTGAATGCATTCTCTAGACTAATCAGCTAGGTAACCTCTTGCAGTCTATGTGAATGAGACCCCTTCAGTTTACTTTCAAATAAAATGAGATGCATCTCAATGCAAAATGGTCTTTGCCGTCTTCTGCTTGAAGTGCCTTGAGTTCCAAATAAGCTCCAAAGGCACAGCACATCTCACTTCCCACAGAATTAGATGGCTGCTTTGAGGTTTTATGTTTTATGGCAGAAAATAAAGAAACCATCTAAGAGATGCTGAAGGGCAGAGACCTCATGTAGCACAGCAAATTGTAGCACTGATGAGTTTGTACTTAGGCCCCTTCCCCTTTTACTCCCAAAGTGGGAGATGTTTTTGCCTGCTTCAGTGTTGCTGAATATTAATCATATTAAATACACAACCACTTAACCTGCTAACAATCAAGATGCTACTGTCATATTTTTGGAAAGAGGGCAGAATTGATTGATCTGGAAAAGCCTTGTGGGTCTTTACTAACTTTATCTCCTCTTTTAATTGATTACCAGGTGGTGGAACAACTGATTATATTTTCTTGTTTCTTTGTCAACATACAGTTTATTTTTTCTTTTAAAAATATGTCTGACATTGATTTAATAAAAGTCAGTGAACTACACATTGAGTAATTTAACAATGGAACTGGCTTCCCATTTGCATAAAGAATAAAGGTACTCTAAGCCATGATTAACTTTTTATTTGTCTATCCAAGTTGGTATTTAAGTAGAGCTGTTTAAGAGAGTTGTGGTTTGACTGGTAGTTCGTCGTGGGACTTCAGTCACTGGAAAGTCAGTCCATAAAGACAATATTTATGGTAATCTGACAAACTGTTTAACACTTGATGACCTCCTTGGTCTAATTTCAGAGGTCAGCATGTTATTAGGGTCTGGGAAAATCTTATGATTTCACTGTCTTACTTTAAAACTTGATCTGGATGGTTTCTGGATTTTTGACCCTATCAAACAGTAGAGGTCCTAAACATTAAGATTTTTAGGCTGAGCCCAGTTTTCTGAGTCTATGATGCTTTTATCAGATCATTGTCAGACTGTTTGCCAGCAGCATCATCCATATGTAACCATACTAACTATTATTTTTTTTAAACCTATTTCATAGCCACCCCTAGTGAAGACTCAAACAGTCACCATCTCTGATGTGTCCAATGCTGTGAAAAGTGAAATTCCAACAAAAGAAGTTCCCATTGTTCACACAGAGACCAAGACTATCACCTATGAGGCTGCTCAGGTAGAGATGTTTTGACTAATTCTGTGGACTTGCAGAAATGCAGCACTGTAGAAATCTGCAGGTGGATTAATCCTTAAAATATGTGCAGAGGTAATTTTCCGGAGTCAGGAGTTTGAGCATGTAGTTAAACTATATCATAGGACAGGTGCACAAGGAATTGAAGATTTCCTGATCATTTAAGCATTGAAGGCTCAAATAACTTAAAGGATCTAGTAATACTGAACTCTTTTTAATCGTTTCAGTACATCTTCACAATGAAATTGGGTCCCTACTGTTACTCTTTTTTCCCACCCTTTTCCCATAGGCATGCATTCAGCTGTTTAGATTTAACAGTTTTTACTGGTATCAGACAGATATAGTTACACTTTAAAGTAGCCCCTTTTAATAAGACTCTTTAGCTGTCATTGAATTACCTGTAAGTTTTTTCAAAATCACTCTGTGTGAAGTTGTCTCTTTTTTAATACCAGCGAGTGGCAATGCTTTGATGTAGACTGTTCAGAACAAACCGTATTAGGCCTTGTTCCTGTAAGTGATCTACTGTCTCCCTTGTCCTTCCTATTTGCTGCTTTTATCCACCAAAAGTCTCTTTCCTGTTTGTTTGGTCTTTAGAACTGTGTACAGGTGAAATACATTGCTCTTTTGTAACCTGTTTCCATCCTTTTCTTGTCTTGAGGATTTCCTAGTAGATTTGTAATCTCAGGCAACTGTTGAAACAAAGAGTGTGCTATGAAAATGCAAATTGTAGTCAGCATCTCCCAAGTACTTTGAAATAATACATTAGAATGAGTTGTGCAATAGCTGCATAGATAAATGTGGTTCCATAGTTAAGATTAAAAATTTAGTCATCCATCTGAAACTGGCTTTCTCACCTGCCCCAATTTCAAGCCACCTAGTTTCATAGTTTCATAGTAGCTAGGGTCAGGAGGGACCTGAACAGATCATCTAGCCTGACCCCCTGCCACAGGCAGGCATGAATGCCGG